GTTTCGTGTTGACTAGCAAGATTGCCTTTAGATAGTCACAATTTTTCGACAGTCTATGGACACCCTCCATGAGGGAAGATTAAATTAAGACAGAATTAAGCTTACCGCCCATTCAATAACAAGCGACGTTGGAGACGCAGCTTGTATTCTGACATCGCGAGGGGCTCCTGTCGGCACTGAAGAATGATTAAATAAGAACAGTGATTAAAACTGGATTATTTCAAACGGACAAGAACTTCATCAATAGAAAGTTACACTAAGGAAGCTCCTCTGGTACTCGATAATATCAAAATACACCTTATCAGTGAAAGTTTTAACTCAAGTTCTACGAAAAGTCTTTGAAAGAATTTTCATTCGACTACTAGTTTAAATTATCTTTCTTCAATTACTCCGCAAATAACTTGCATATTCTGCACTTAATATAAATACGTAAAGCATGTTTTTGCAACACATTTCTTTAGTCTCCGTTTATCACAAAAATATGACCCAAAACTTTAGCGGCCTGTTTTCAGTTCTGGCTGGTGAATTACTCTATATTAACAATAAAACAAAGCAATTTACAAATTTGGGAGTCGTTGCTTCCTCCAAAAACAAGAAACGAAATGACATTTAATTTAACTTTAAGCAGGGCATTTACTCTAGCTGCAATAAACTAGACATTGTCCAGTTGGTAAATAAAACAAATATTATGTTGCCAGGTGCTTGTATGATCGCGATCCAACCACTCACACAAGCGATTTACATGTAAGCTCCATACTTTGGCCATTTCCGAGTTGTTTTTTACCTCTGTTTCAAAACAAGTCTCGGTGAACAACTTTTCATATGGAAACGAGTTTGATTTGCAAGACAATGAACGTACAAGAAAAACGCATTTCAATATGAAAGGTTATACACCAAGACTCGTTTTGAAACTGAGGTAAGAGCAACTCAGAAATGACGTATTCTTGCGATACAGCTCGAGGATATTTGTTACGTGGACCTGTTTATATAAACTAGCTCCCACGAGTCTCCAGTCTATCTCAGTATTAAAAAGTCCAACCGGTCACGTACTGACTAACATGTTTCTTATATTGAAGAGTGCCGTAGTGACAATAAGTTTAAACTCACGGGCAAGGCGAGTAGAGACAGCCGTGGACGCAACGCTATACGGACTGTTGCCTCTGTCGTTAGTAGCCATGATCCTGAACGTGTAAGTCTCTCCTGGAGTAAGACCTTCCACTTTAAGGCTCCGTGAACTGTGAGGAACGTTTGGAGAGTACACCTGCCAGCCCTCGCC